AAAAAAAAAGAAAATGGTGACACAATCCAGTCAGGTTCAATATATATAATGGGATAGCGATACCGACTTTTCAGGTATCTAATTCATCTGTTACTTACCTTTCCCGTGATCAAAGTATACATGTTCAGCACATCCACAACAGTCGACTCAAAGTGAGTTGTGGCATCATAATTCTGTCGTGCAGTGTTTGTAAGTAAATGTAATGAAAAATTTGCCAAACCTCTATAACCATAGCAACATTTAATATATAGCAAGTTAGAAACTACTTACAGTTGATATAAAGCAATTATCAGATGATGGCTTGTTGACCGGCTCATATCTATCTAAAGTCTCGAAGAAAATCTCATCAACCGGTCCAAGAAGATCGATACCAGGCTTCAGTTCAGTCTCAGGGTGTTCAGTCTCCGCCTCAGATGAAACAAACGCAATGTATTTTCCTTTTGGGGCCACATTGTGTGAATAAGAGCAACAAAACAAATACCTACACAATCAATAAACTGAGAAATCAGTAAATACTTATCAGTAATACTAATCAATAAGGACAGCTAGTGACTTACATGTCTGATTTGCGGCCTAACTGCTTCTGTGGTAATATAACTTGTGCTGAATGAGAATCGTTCGTGTTTGGGATCGGGTGGCTCATGATGGCAATAGCTCTAGCGACTTTACCAACTTTCCTCACCTATCGATACATTTTCATTCCAATTTTTATCACATTTGCAGTTGGAAAAGCAAGAGAAAGATGTTATAACAGAGGTTTGATTATTTAGAGTTACAGATAGAATCTGAGGACAAAATGTACAATCACGAAGTGCAATATATATAAAATTACCTTATCGGGAAGGTAAGAAGGATCACATACTAGTTTTTTGCACTTTGCTGTTTCCCCTTCTGATGTAACTCCACAGACTTTGCCTTCCTCGTCAAACTCTACCTGACATCCTAACTACATGTCAGAACATAAACACTAGAAAAATTCTTTTAATCAGGCATGTATATGTGAGGAGAAAGAGAAATAAATACAGGATTAACTCACTCAATACCTTGCAGTGAGGTTTATTCAGCATGTAGGTCCCACCATAGACGGCGCTAAGACGAGCAAATGCCTGACATAAATAGAAAGGCAAAGGAGATAATTCAAACAGAGACAAATAAGAAGGTAACTGGAAGATAATAAAGGAAAAAAAGAGAGATGCAAAGACTTGAGGAAGCTCTCCAAGGCCATACAACGGGTAGATGTATGGTGAACCTCCAGCAAAACGTGCTAAAGACTCTGCATAAAGCTATCCATTCAGAAGAAAACGCGTTAATAATGATTGATTCCTATGCAAACATAATTTTCTTCAAAAACATGATGATAAGACGGCAAGAAAACTACCTACCTTCATTCTCTTCACAGTGTCTAAAGCAGGTTCATTTAAGTAAGAATCATCTCGGTGTAGAGCCAGTGCATGACCAATGAAGTCCATAGTGTTGTCATCAAGACCGTATTTTCTGTTGGGTGAAAAGTTTTTAACTTTATATTAAGTTTAAACTTTGAGTCACATGAGAAGAAAATAGTTTCGTGGGGGGCCATACGAAATGAGCTCTCGAGTTGTAACTCGCGTCAAGTCCATCCCTTCATGTGTTTTAGGATCACTCTCATTGTAATTCTGAACGTAAATGAAAAATTTTCGCGCACGACGCTTTTCAAAGATGCCCATAAGTGGAGATTTGAGGGCCTCCATGTCAGTTGCAGGCACCTTGTGGATCTGTTGAGTACACACATATTTTTGCACCAAAATAAGGAAGCAAAATATGTAGTAAATGAAGATTAATTTATACCTTTCCTTTGTTGTAAACGAAGCTACCATCAACAGCTTTGAAATACAAATACTTTGTGACATTAGTATGAATGAGGACCCGAACAAGCGCACCATTTGCCATAATATACTGAGATTAAAAGGAAGTGGCATCAACAAACGAATAACGTGAAGCTTTTTTGCTAATGGAAATTCGACTAATGTAAGAATGTTAGAACCTTAGGGACCATGTCGACGTTATATTCCCTGCTCGGACCTAAGTGGGTTGGTGGCTCATCACTTCCTCTAAATCTCTTCCAGAGCTGAGGAAAAAAAAAAAAAAAAAAAAAGAAGAAGACATCAACTCGAGAAGACATCAGATTGTGATCAACTGATCATTAAACTCTTCGAAACTAAATTATAAGAATACCTGAACCAGATAAAGTGAGGTTGACTCCCCACCATAATAGTCATTGCAGTCCATGTGAAGAACCTATTCCGCAAGATTGCGAAGCGCAAACAAGAGTTAATAGATGTGTAAAAAAAAACTTGTTTTTTACAAATAGTTATAAATAAGTTATGGCATATTTATTTAATCTTTAGCTAAAAAAAGGGCACATATATGCTTAGGAGACTGATATATTATCAATCTGTGTCGAATTCGATTAGATGAAAGTAATCAAATGTTACAAAGCGTAATGTAACGAAAGAAATGAAAATCAGAAACTTGGATTATCACTCTTAATTCACCTCTTCAAAGTAATTCATGAAAATCGAACGATCCCAGAGACACAGATTACCAAACAAACCACTATAACCGAAAATGACACAACAGATCGCCCGTAAAACAAAAGGAAAACCCACCTTTGGACCAAATGTCCAAATTATAACAGCAAACACAGCACTAAAATCCAATCTGAGTTAAAAAAACAACAACCAAATGATCCATTTCAGAATATCGAAAACAGGGAGGATTCGAGCGTTACAGTGATTTTTCACCCTTGGATCAACACATACACATATCCACATCAGTGTATGTTGATCCAACGGTGAAAAAACTACAATGCAACTATGTGTAAGGTGAAATCAACACGAAAAAATTTGAATAACCACATAGATTTCTAATCACATAGAAGCTGCATTCTCAAGAAACAGAACAAAACATTTAAGAATATAAAATGAAGAAGAAAAAGAAAAGTCATAGGACCTTGAGGCCATCGACTGATAAGAGGCCGCTGAGGATGCATTCTTTAAGACCTGTACCGAGCACTATCACGTCGTATTCTTCGTCCATCGTATTCTACACAAAGAAACGAAAAGTTGAAAAACTTTTATCTATCATATGGATCAAAGAAATCATGGGATTTGAGCAAAATGACTATATGTGCTTATATATGATTTTTGTTTTGGTTTAGCATGCAGAGCACCTTGCGTCCTCCAATCGCTTGTTTAGACCAAATCCACGTGTATTTTCATAGGAAGGATAATATTACAAATAACAAACAATGTATTATTATTATTATTATTATTATTATTATTAATTATTATTATTATTATTATTATTATTATTATTATTATTATTATTATTATTATTATTATTATTATTATTATTATTATTTAATTCAAAATGAGTATTATAATTAATTTACTAAGCTAAGGATAAGCAACCGGACTCTAAGCTGTGAAACTCGGTGCTTGGACATCCTCCGTAAAACGAAGACTTACGTAAAGGCGGCGGAGGCCTACGTGAGGGCCGGGGCGGCGGTGCACGCTCTTCGTATGATACAATGGTACCCACCGGATTCGGGATGGTCGTGAATACAGACAGGACTTCTAGCCGCAGCATGCACGGGCTTGTGTAGTGTTGGTGGCTTAATTCGAGATGAGCTCGGTAGATGGATTGAGGGTTTTTTTATGAATATTGGGTTTGCACCATTACCGGGCGGAAATGTGGGGTTTGTTTCGGGGACTACAGTTTGCATGGGAGCTGGGTTTTAGACAAGGTTGTTGCAGAGGTAGACTGTCAATATGTGGCGAGAATGATCCTGGGATCATTAACTTTGGAGCCCACAACTTTCTAGTTCGAGCCATTCGAAACATGGTGCATAGAAACTGGAGCATTCTGATCGAGCATGTGCACAGGGAAGCAAATTTTTCGGCTGATCATATAGCAATCTTAGCGACTTCTTCCCCGTTGGGCTTGCAAAGGATTTCACCTCCCCCAGGGTTAGGGTTGCAAACTAGTCGAGCCGAGTCGAGCATTGGCCTTATCGAGCATAATTGAATTTTTTTTAGCTGCTCGAGCTCGAGCTCGATTTTTTAGGCTTGAGCTCGACTCGATAAAAATTACAAGAACTCGAGCTCGGATCGAGCTCGACTCAGAATTAAAATGCTCGAGCTCAGCTCGAGTTCGGCTCAAAATTTTCTAAGTGGAAAGGTAAAATTACCATTAAGCACCTATGCTAATATATATAATAAGGGTTATTTTAGTAATTTAACGTGTATCCCGAGCCGCTCGACAAGGCAAAATATGGCATGAGCTTGACTCGAGTTCGGTCAAACTCGAGCTCGAGTCGAGCTTTAACTCGAGCGCTCGCGAGCCACTCAATTCGTTCGCAGTCATACCCAGAGTTAGGATATGACTGGATTACGACATCCGTGGGGTGGCCTACCCACGACGAGTTCTAGTATAGTAGTTTTTCGAGCCATTGGCCTCCTTCTCTGTACCCTAAAAATAAAAAGAATAAGCCTGTCTCATTTAAAAATTTATATACAACAACAACAAAGCCTTTTAGTCCCAAACAAGTTGAGGTAAGCTAGAGATGAAACTCAAGAGAAACAGTGGTAAGAGAAACACAAAAAGGGCAAAAACAAAACAAAACAAAACAAAAGGAAGAGATTGGAGAAAAAGAGAAATGAGCAAAAGTCACGGTTCCGACACGTTGATCGCTAGCCTCCAAGCGCTCCTATCCACCGCTAAATCCTTGGAGATATTCTAATTTTTAAGGTCTCTCTGAACCGACTCTTCGCAAGTGAGTTTAGGCCGACCTCTACCTCTCTTAACATCATCGACCCGCTATAGAACTCCCCTACGTACCGGTGCATCAGGAGGCCTCCGTTGGACATGTCCGAACACCTCAGCCGATGTTGAACCAATTTCTCCTCAATTGGAGCCACCCCGACCTTATCTCGAATATACTCATTCCGGATTCTATCCCTTCTTGTGTGCCCGCAAAACCAACGCAGCATACGCATCTCTGCTACACTTAGTTGTTGGACATGTTGCCGTTTTGTAGGCCAATATTCAGCACCGTATAGCATCGTCGGGCGAATCGTCGTCCTATAGAACTTACCTTTTAACCTTTGTGGCACCCTCTTATCACAGAGAACGCCCGACGCTTGACGCCATTTCAACCACCCAGCTGCAATTCTATGCCTAACATCTTCATCAATGCCGTTATCCTTTTGTAGCATCGATCCCAAATACCGGAAAGTCTCCTTCTTGGCCACCACTCCCGTCAAGACTAACGTCACCATCATCATGAGTAGCCATGCTGAATGCACACGTCATGTACTCGGTCTCCGTCCTACTTTTTTTCTTTCTCTTTATTTTAAAATTCCTTATTTCATTTTTATTCTAACAGTCGTCGTATACATCTCTCTATTATATATTTTTCGCCATATTGTAAATATTGTATTTCTTAAATTTTAGTTATGTGCCTCAAATTATGATGATTATAATTATAATGCTATTTAATACAAACTTACAAAACTTGACAAATCTTTTTTTATACTATATGCTAGTAGTCGCTAAAAAAAAAAAAAAAAAAAAAAAAAAAAAAAAGAGGAGTTGTACTCCTAATACACTAATAATTATTATTCAAATTTTAGTGATTGGATAAAAAAAAAAATTCACTCAAAATTTCATTTAACTCAATATATATCTAACTCAACTCCACATCCTCAATATTAGTAATATAATTAAATAATATCACTTATCGTTATTACACATAATAATTACTTTAATTCACTATTCATCAACTCATATAATTTTAACTAATCATCATCTCGTACCATCTCTTTATCAGTTTTACATTAAATTAATTTTAATTATCTTATTTTAAATATTATTTAATATAAATTCAATTTTATAATAGAGGCACAGCAGTCATTTCTCTTTTTATGCGTGAAGAACTGGAAATCTTAATTAAAATCATACAAATATCGACGTTGACTAGATCAACATCAACAATTACCTTAATTAATTGCATTCAGGCAATCTTGATTGCCTGAGAGTAGATATATTTTCTTACAAGAAAAGTGAAAATTGCTAAAAAAATCCACTCTGATTTTTACAAGCTTTTCAAAGTTCAATTGGATAATATCCGGTTTAAAATTTTCAACGTCACACCAATTTCCATTTCATCCCCAAATTAAGTTAATTGAGTTGTCGACCCTATTAAAAAAATAATAATAAAAAAAATAAAAAAAAAAATTCATATGTCAAGCGGACTAATGATTATCCGTTATACTTATATATAAAACTAAAATTTATAGGTTTATACGTTGCAAACATTCATATCTTTATTGTATTTATTTTTATTGTATGAATTAAATAATTAAATTATACATATACATATTATTGAACGAAGACATTAGAAATACAAAACTATCAATAATATAATAAAATAATAATATATTGTTTTGCATATATCTATAGGGAGACGCTACGGTCCCGTTACGGAACCATTCCGTCGGAGTTTGTAACTGTTAGATCAACTATTCCCTACGGTTACATGATGATCTAACGGTTATAAATTCGGACGGAATGGTTCCGTAACGAGACCGTAGCATTTTCCATATCTATAAGAGACCCCACTGAAACTTCTCGTTCTTTCCTTACCTCTCACTTTTCAATTTTCCCAACCAAAATAATTCCCCTTTTACACGCGCTTCCTATCTTTAATTCATACATTCAGAACCTTCTGGAATTGCCACACGTTTCCGGTTTCTGTATTCCCTCTCCCTCTCTACAATTTAGAACTCCACAGGATTTGCGTTTCTCTCTTTTTCTTTACGTTTCGGGGGCAATAAGGACTTGAACATGGCTCCGCCCACCGTGGATCGGAGTGGCGGAGGCGAATCGACGGCGAACGGCGACGCGCCGCGGTCCGTCCCGACGCCGTTCCTGACCAAAACTTATCAGCTCGTGGATGACCCATCCATCGATGACATCATTTCATGGAATGATGACGGATCTGCTTTCATCGTCTGGAACCCGACGGAGTTCGCCCGCGACTTGCTCCCCAAATACTTCAAGCACAACAATTTCTCCAGCTTCGTTCGCCAGCTCAACACTTACGTGCGTACAATTTCATTCAAAATCTTCAAACTTCTTAGCTCCTGTTTGATTATGAAGGGGATTCTGATTTTCCTGTTTCGATTTTGGTAAATTTCTAGGGATTTAGGAAGGTTATGCCCGATCGATGGGAGTTCTCGAATGAGTGCTTCCGGAGGGGCGAGAAGAAGCTCCTCTGCGACATCCAGCGCCGGAAAATCACCGCGGCGGCACCGACGACGTCTCCGCCGCCGTTGGCGGCGACTCCATTGAAGGCGGTGTCACCGTCCGATTCCGGTGAGGAGCAGGTGATCTCCTCCTCCAACTCGCCGGCTACCGGGCGGGAATTAGGCGGCGGCACGGCGGAGCTGTTGGGGGAGAACGAGAGGCTGAGGAAGGAAAACGTACAGCTTAACAGGGAGTTGAGCCAGATGAAGAGCCTGTGCAACAGTATCTACGTTTTGATGTCAAACTACGCGGGCAGTGGTATGGGTAAGGGCGGCGGCGGCGGCGGGTCAGATCCGGCGGCTAGGCCGTTGGATCTGCTGCCTATGACGAGGTTCTGCGAGGAGATGCAGACCGCGGTGGCGGCTGCGGCGGAGGCGAGGGGCGATGAGGAGTGCAGCCTAAGATCGGCGGCGGAGGAGATCAGCGCGAGGCTGTTCGGGGTGCCGATCGGCACGAAACGCGGGAGGGAGGGGGAGGGGGAGGGGGAGGGGGAGGGTGGGGTGGCGGAGCACGTGATGGATCTGCGGCTGCAGCAGCCGGGAGGGTCGGAGATGAAGACGGAGCCGTTGGATCAAGAGATGAGCGACGGCGGGGATCAAGAATCGTCGTGGCTGACGACGAGGAGCAACTCGAGAAATCGGAGGGTGTGAAAGGGGTTAGGTTGGGGGACGGTGGGGATTGATTTGATGTAGAATTAGTGTACCAAAGCCGGGTCGGTTGTGCGTTCAGGGAGGCACGTGCCGAAAGGGACACGTGTCTGGATAACCTTTTGCTTAGAGGACTTTATTTCAGGAAGGTTCCTTTGTCTTTACCTTCCATTATACGGTCCATAATCTGTTTGAAATTTGTGTACAATGTTTTAAATTTGTGTACTTTTTACCTATTTTATTTTTACCTAGTATTTAATCAATTCATTTGTTTTACCCATTTATAATTCTATTTTTTTTCTGAAAGACATAGAATAAATGTTAACATCGACTTAAGTTCAATGAAAAATTAATCTTATAATTGAAATGCGGGAATTTGAGTTTAATTAATTCAAAGATTCTTAGATTTACTATTGTTTTGTTTGACAAGTCAAATGAGTCATATTTATGTAGTCTCAATGTTGACTATGAGAGGAACGTTAGGGACAAATTAAGAAAAAAGAACACGATTTGAGTTCGAACGTGTGCGTACGGGTTCTTAGTGAGACGCGGGCTAGACCCTGTTGCGAGCGCGACACCCGGATCAGCTCAACATTTGAGCTTACTAGTTGGGCGCGAAGTGTTGTAGCAAATTATATTTTTAACGAGTTTGAAATGAATTCCGACCTCGGGTCTGTTGGAGTACAGTGAGGAATGTCGAAATTATACAACTTAAGAATCACTTACAAAATAAATTTAAGCGCATTGGGATTAAAGATAAGGATTGAACACATATGGTTTAAAATATCGCAGCTCTGAGTCGATTACAAGGCCTACAGAGCTACACATAGGGTTAGACGACTAGGCGGCGTGCGAGCGTGCATAGGTGGGTTCGGCGACCAGTTTTAGCGAGAGAGCTTCAACACGGACTAGCTCGTAAACTCTTGATAAGACCTCTCGCCTTGATCTCGTTAGAGGCCAAAGGTATCTCCATTGAAACTCGATTATACCTGCCCACGGTATTCCGCAATGATTCACCCTTTTCTTGGCTCATCACCATCAAAGTTAGGTAAGTTTTTTGCTTGGGCTATCGCACTAGCATACTGGGTTAAGAACAAGCTCGAAAACCCTCAAAATCTCTCACCGACCCTGGGGGAAGTTGATGAAACCAATCTTGAGCCCCTCCTCAAGGTAGCCAAAAAATCTCGACAGTTCACTGTATCAGAATAACCATGCAATACAGACATATTTTCAAAAGACGTTATATGCCTTGATGGGTTTGCTGACCCGTCATAGGTAAGACTAACCTCTCTGAAATTGGTTGCCAGCGCAACTTCAAGAATCTCTCGAGAAAAAAAATGTCCTCAAGCTCGACCGACAGCCTTTTCCTCGACCTTCGTCTGAAAGTGACGGATTTGCTCCGTCATCTTCTCGACTGCCCAATCTCAATAAATCCCGATGGCCATGTTGCTCGACTCCTACTCCTATGTCTCCCAGTCTGCTCGTACTATAGCGGTAGAGTGCGATGCTTGTTGAGTGAAATGTTGGGTCGCTCCGGTTGTAACTACATCTGCAATCATCATTCTTATCTTCTCCTTAGAAAATGTAATAAGATGTCGTTTTCCTTGCTCGACCTCTCTCCTAGGTGCCCCTTCTGGTTGTGCCCGTGCGACCACAGGGTGTGACTGATCTGCAACTGCAACTTCTACTCCGGCTACCCCTCCCAACGAACTTTTCGAAGCAGCAAGAAAACGGATGCGCGTTAGCGCAACGACTTTCGCGCTAGTTGCTCAATTGCTACCAGAGTTCTTGAGCCTCTAGTGGCGGTTAGGATCGCAAAGGTGCACCCCGGGCCCGAAGATTGAGAATCATGGTCTCCATGATCCTGGTGGAAAAATGTGGTGGGGTCCCTGTGCCTCACAGACGTGTATTGCCACGCCTCGTCAAATGTGGGCTCAAGATTCTTCTTGTGATCCTCGTTCGCCATGGATAATGGAGCTTGATGGCTTTTTGAACAAGTGTACCCACGGACGACGCCAAATAGTACGTCAAAAACCTTCGACCGACTGGATTTGGATTGATCTACCTTCCTCGCTGGTGGATGACCTTCAATACTTGCACAAACTCAACGCCGATGGAGTTTCCTGCGTAGAGCCTCCGATGCTTAAGTCAGAATTGTAAAAAAGATGATGAGAAGTAGTAGAACACTGTATGTGCAAATAGTGTGTAATGTTCTAGTGGCCATACCTTACCCCTCCTTATATAGGGAGGTGTTACCTTGTTGCCCAAGACTATTCGGATAAGCTGTCCGGTCTGCTCAAATTGTCCATCCGTACTACCAAAACTGCTCACTTCTATTAGGCCATTTGACCCTATCCACGCGTGGTCCTTATCCTAATAATATTCTTTCTTATCCATTAGTTTGTATTATTAGACGGTCTATTTGTGCGATTGATCCAAATCACTTCGAGGAAGAATACCGCGTAGGTTGAGCTCATGTGTCGTCCTTTTGGTCGATCCGTCAACCAGTTACTCATTCAGATCGAGTTTCAACCAGGTCATCTAAGGGGCGCTCTAACTCTATTGTCGGTATCCTTTTGAGCTTGAAACGTCCTCCTCGACTTGAAGAGTATTTGTTTTGTAACCCCGTTCGACCTTCGTTCGGCCTACAAGTGCATCTGTTCGACTAACCGGTTCGCCTGGCCTGATCGACTGGTTTATCGAGTTTATTCTACTCGGTGTAGTATCTCATATCTTTTACCATCAAATGACTATGCTTGGAACGAAAACTTGAACAGATTGTGTTCTAGAATCTGATTGAAAATGATCTGGTTGTTCTCCATATTACTCCCATAATAGTTCTTAATCCTCCTAGATTAACCTTCTTATTTTCCCACTATTTTTCCTATCAAACTGCGCACGCACTCCTATAGCCCAAGCTCAATGTCTGTTTCCGACAAAGTTATCCCTAGTTTTTCTTTTTTTGAGAGTTCAAATCTGTTTAATTTATCAATGATGTCCTGCTCCATGGCTACCATGATCAGAACCAGAATCTCAATAGGAATGTAGACTCACGAAAATCAGTCGACCCTACTAGCAGAACTCGCAACTAAAAGCCCCAAAGAACCCTAACCTAAAAGAAATGGAAACAACAAAAGCACCCACAGAGACGAAACCAAAGAAACGGTAAGAGAGAAAACTTCGGACCACCTTAACTTAGAAAAACTGAAATTCCAATTAATAGTACTAGGATGAACTCTAGGAAGAGAGGGATTTTCCAACGAGAGTGGAACGAATATGAAAATGAGTTAGTTATTTAATATTTTATCAAACAATGAAAAAAAAACCTGAACTTTTTAATCTCATAAAAAATATACATTTTTATCAAATATATTATTATTATAAATAAATAAATAAATAAGTAATTTTAAATATTATCTTGAATTTTTAAAGCATTATATACGACAACAAAAACTTGGACAATAAAAGCATTAAAGAAATTATATTGGCCACATAAATTTTGCAAATCCGAATGTGAAAAATATTATAATAAACAATTCTCGATCATTTGCAGACGATAAATTATGTAATTCGTCTATCTTCCAAATAAATAAAATGGAACAGAGAATGTATCGGAACATGATCAAAACGTTTTTAAATAATAAATATCCTACCAGATAGGGGAGAGGTGGACCATAAATAAAATATACAATAGGAGGAGTTGATTAATGATTGCTCTCTGCCAATAGGTCCATGGAATAAAAGTAACTTACTTTAAAGAATAGCATAAAATTGATGCAAAAATGCTTCATAAGAGGAGACTATGTACATGCCATTTGTGGCAAAGCATCCTTCAACGCTGGCTCTTAGTCCAATCCCCCTTTTGATTGGATTTAAACACGTCCCCAAGAATTATGAAGATAAGTTAGTTTTTGGTCCCTCGTAATGTGTATTGCATTTTGAGCATCACCCGAAAAAGTCGAATTCCCATTTTCTCAAGATATCGTTTTTTAATCGGCGGACATATTCTCGATTCCCTTTCGGCCAATCATTCACAGACAGTGTGTATGCTGTTAAATATGAATTGTGGGAATGGCAAACTAGCATAGAAAGTCGGCACAATCGTTCATCTCTTGTGTATGTATGCCATGCGAATATGTTAGATGTTGGATATTTACTGAACTCGATTTTGACATAAAGCGAATAAAACGGTGATTGAAATGATTGGCAGTTGAAGATATGCGAGTGAAATAAATAGTAAAAATCTTTCTTAAGGAATAGCTAAGTAGATGAACTGTTCCACACATGTTTCATTAAGAATGTGTACACATCACAACTTTGTATTGCATGCAAATATTCTCAAAGAATCTCGTGACTTGTAATAAACCCAGGTCATCTTCTTGGCCACTCTATAAAAGCCCACCCGAACTCTTCAATCGATCTTTACACACAACACAAAAGAGGACAATACATATATATATATATATATATATATATATANNNTATATATATATATATATATATCTAAGCATAGTTCCCACATTCACTTCTTGACTGAAACTAAGTAAAGACTTTGTCCTGAAACTATGCCGAGGTCATTAGATTCGCTCTCTGTAGGTAGAGTCATAGGAGAAGTTGTAGACGATTTCGTGCCTTGTGTTAGTTTGACTGTAACCTACAATAGTAACAGGCAGGTTGCCAATGGCCATGAGCTTATGCCAGCTGTCATCACGGCCAAACCGTGGGTCGATATAGGCGGTGACGACATGAGGGCTGCTTATACTCTCGTAACTATCGCTTTATTCGTTTTTCTTTTTTTTTTTTAATAAAAAAAAATGAAATAACCATCATATGCCTGTTTTAAAATTCTTACAAAAATGCATCTCACTTGTGATGTTTTTCAAGGTCATGACTGATCCTGATTTTCCAGGCCCTAGTGATCCATACTTGAAGGAACATCTCCACTGGTTTGTATTATCAGCTTTAAACAAAATAATAATAATAATTGCATCAGTAATAAAAACTCTATTTTTAGGTCAAATTTTGCTTATGGGGGTGTATATAAATGTTGTCCTGTCCTTTTTTTCTGTTTGCAGGATTGTTACAGACATTCCAGGTACAACTGATGCATCTTTCGGTAAGTTTTCTTGCGTATCAAGAATTATTCTCACCTAAAAACAACTTTATATTCTATGGCAATGAATCTGAAATATTCGAGCTATATATAAAAGTTATCCACTGTTTCTCTTGGGTTTTATCTCTAGCCTATCCCAACTTGTTTGGGACTAAAAGGCTTTGTTGTTGTTGTTGTATATATAAAAGTTATCATTTTTTTTTTTTTT